CGCTCTGGCGATCCTTCCACCTCTGCCTTCCAAGTAGCTGGAACTACAGGCGCACGCTACCACACCCGGCTAATTTTTTGGTTTATTGTAGAGATGAGGTCTTGCCTGCCCAGGCGGGTCTCAAAACTGCGGGCTCAGGCAATCCACTCACCTCAGCCTCCCAAAGGTGCAGGATTACAGGCTGAGCCACCGACATGCATTTTTAAAGTCTTTAATGAAATTTTAAAAAAACACTAAAAGAAAAAAAACCAAAATCTAATTCTTACCTTCATTGAATATGGCCTCTTTTGTTGGATAATACCCATTATCATCCTGAGTTGCTGGGAGTGTGGGCTTCCCACCTCAGGCAGCAATGTCTAAATTTAAGAGAATTCAAGTTTCAGTATAATTTATAACAGCCTATGCTTGGTTTTTAATTTTATTTCATGTTTTGAAGACAGTCAAGAAAAGATATGCTGATAGGCGTAGCAATATAAGATTATTAGAACGTTTAAAATGTCCTTTTAAAACCATATAGTTGACTATTGACTTAGTTCATTTACCTGAAAACCAAAAAAATGTGGGAAAAAATGCACTAAAAATTACTCATTCTTAATGACACACATTCCTACCAATAAATCAATTATCTCTGTCTTTTGGGAAAAAAAATCCTCCTCTGGAATTTGACACATGTACACCACTGAAATGACACACCACAGACAGTCAGTCTTCTGTATCCGTAGGTTCTGCAACTAGATTCAACCAACTGTGAGTCAAGAATATTTTTTAAAAATGTGTCTGTAACTAAACAGGTAAAAACTTTTTTTTCTTGTCATTATTCCATAAACAATACAGTTTAACAACTATTTAGATGGTACTTACATTGTATTAGCTATTATGCATAATCTAGAAATGTTTTAAAGTATATGGGAGGATGTACACAAGTTATATGCAAATACTATGCCATTTTATATCAGGGACTTGAGCATCTGTGGACACTGGCATCCACAGAAAGTCCTGGAACCAATTTCTCATGAATACTGAGGGACAACAGTATATGTTTTGTACAAAGGATATCATTGAACCATTTCCCATGAAAGTGTGAGGCCTTTTCAAGATTCAAGGCTTTACCGCAAGCGAAAAGAATGTACTTTATCCCTTCAGTGGATCTGGTGCGCGACCCTGAAGCATTACCACGTTTGGAAAATGCCACCTAAGTACCACGTTCCAACATTAAAACAAACTCTCAATAACTGATTTCTCAAGGGGAATACAGTCTCTAAGTTTTCTCTGAAATCTGGTTAGTGGTAAACAAAACAATCTAGCTGCAGATAGCCTTCAGGAAACATGAAGGCTATCTTCATATGTTAATGTTTGCTTCTTGGCAAGAAGATGCCAATAGCCAATACTCATCTGTGACTTAGCCACAGAAAATGTGGGTCAGAATGTTTTACTATAATGCCTAAAGTCTCTGGAAAAGGTTATGGTCAATATTTTTCAAGGAGGAAGCAAAGCAAGAAATTCATCATTTATGTTCACACTATATGTATTATTTGACATTAAGGTAGATCTTTTTATTCAACAAATAACATAAGTATGAGTATACTTCATGTATATGTTTAAAGTGCCAACTGCTCCTAAAAAAGAAAGTAACCTGTGTTTGGTTTTTTATTTTATTTCATGTTTTGAAGACAGTCAAGAAAAGGTATGCTGATACAAGCACAAACCTACCAATCTGCTGCCTTGTGATGGGAAGCCTTTAGCTATTTCATATGTATAATTTTCGCAAATATGCATTCAGTATTTACTGTGTTGATATAAGAGGATGCTTCCTTGAATTTTAAAAAACATCCTTTAGACTCAGTTCTTTGCCTACTGAATTTTAATTTTGTTATTTTTTTAAAAATTGCTTTTAAAATCATTTCTTAATTTCAACATGCAGTTACCTTCATGCTTCTAAATCTTCACCTTAATCTTAAAACAAGTCTCTAAATGGAATATGGATGTCCTCAATTCCTTTAAGAATATATTTTTGGCATTCATAATAAATATGCAGCTCTCCAAACTGACCACCTATCATGGTCTTGAATTCAAATCCTGTCCCTGTTTGCAAGATGCTGTATCTCTCTAAGTCATGTTTCACACCAAAAACTGGGTTAACAACTGGACTGAAGCCATCTTACCATATGTAAGTGAGGCTCCAGGGAACAAACTACCTGCTGAGCTCTACTATGAGTTCATAAGGAGGCCCCCATCAAGCAAGTGAGACACTGATCATCACGGCAGGGGTGCTCATGCAACAGCGGTCTACAAGTAAGTTTTGCAATAAATGTTGACTTTCAGACAAATTATAATTGCTATGTTTTCCTAAGAGACTTTAGAAATAGTCATCTGCATTCATTTCCACAGCAATCCACAATTTCCTTTGTTCTGACTGCAACAGAGGAGTATATCACCTGCTCTTGTGGAATTATAATTCTATAACTCAATAATCTGATTTAGTCTGTAGGCAAACACCTATGAAAGATGACTACACTCTTCTGGGCATGCAGTTCAGCACTGAATATGAGCCCAGAGCATAAGAGCAGAATTCAGTTCACACCTCTGCCACTTACTGCCTCAGAGAATTTGTCTCCAAGCCTCAACTGACTCATCTGCAAGACGCTGACACAATATCCATCTCACTGATTTGTTGTGAGAATTAAATGAAATGGTGTATTTAAAGTATTTAAAGCCCAGAGACTGGCACATAGTTAATGATCTGGAATTGTCAGTGTTCTTTATTAGTGTCCGAAAATACTCTATACAAATAACTTTATACTAGTTAATTGTTATTGATCAAAACATGAAATTATTTCATTCTTATACAGAACTAACTATATGCCCTGTTTTTCTTCTCAGTAATATATGATTGCACATAAATAAAAACATTTAAAAATTGATATTTTGCATATTACCACAATGAAAAAAATACTTACCATATCTGTGTTGATATGTGCAAAAGATGGCACATTAAATATTCCTTGGATCAGTTCTGGTGGGCTACTTACTCCCAGCCATAAGAACATGTTTAGACCATTAGCCAGTAAGAATATTCCGTCTTCTGAAAGACGAGACTCAGAGCAACGAACAGCAGCAGGTAACATTGTACTCTTGACATCTAATGTGTGCTGTTCCGGCAAAGACAAGAGTTAGAAAGTCCTTTCTTCCCTTTCCCTTTCTTTTCTCTCTTCTTTTCTATCTTTTTCCTCCCTCTCTCCCTGCAGTGCATATTTAATGAATGCCTACTATGTGTCAGGCATTGCTCTAGTTATCAGACAGTAATCCCTGCCTCCTGCAGCTTTGTTTTACATAAAACAAGTAAACTATATAGAATTGTAGATGCTGTTAAGAGTCATGAAGAAAAGAAGCAGGAAAATGGGATAGGGTGTGTCAGTGGTGGAGAAGAGAGTGTTACAGTTGTAACTAGGGCCATCCAGGAAGTCCAGGGACTTTTGAGAAGAAAACCCAGGAAGTCCAGGGACTTTTGAGAAGGAGCACTTGGGACATCTGGGGAACACCATTCCAGAAGGAAGGAAGAGCCTGAAGCAAGAGTCTGTCTGGAGTTTTCGAGGATCAGCAAGGGGCCGTGGCTGGCGTGGAATGAGGAAAGGGAGAGTAACAGAAAATGAGGTCAAGTAGAAGGGAGGGGAGAGCCAGGGCGATAAGAACTCGGGCTTTCACTGAGATGGGGAATCCAGAAGTGTTTTGAGTAGAGGAGTGATGAGCTGACATCTTAACAGGACCACCCTAAGTGAGCTGAAAACAGATTGCAAGAGAGGCAGAATGCCTCAAGTCCCCTCTCCCATCACACCGAGTACATATTGATGTCCAGATGCAACTTCCTCAAAGAGCCTCTGCTCTAAATCCCATGCTTCACATTTTAAAGGCATTTGTGACTTTGAATTTCTTAAGAACAAAATGTTTCAGATATAGCATAGGGAAAAGCACAAAATATGACTGTCTTCCAGCATTCTCTAGGAAATGCACTGTCACAGCATGCTTACTATGGGCAGAAGTTGTGGGTAGAAGAAGAGCTGAGAGTCGGCCACACCCATGCTCATGACCAGCTGTCTCTGGAATGCCCGCTCATCAGTTGAGATCTCTGGTCTGCTGAGCAGCACACAGTTTTTTAACAAACAGTTCATGTACACTGGTAATACTTTCATGGAATCTGGCAGAATAAGCTGAAAAAGAATGACATTTTGTTTAATATGCTTGGCCTTGGCCGAGAAAGAACCCCCGAGCTTTATCTGTAAGATAGAGACATCATTTGCTTTTGAGCCTGTTGTGAGAATTAAATAGTAACCCATGTAAAGCACCTAGAGCACAGTAAATTGGTGCACGGTAGGTATTCAAAGAACAGCAGCTGTTTTTATTTTATCTAATGACATAGCAGCCTTGAGTAGTGGTTGTCAGCACAACCCACTGCCTAGGATGCTATCCCAGCTCTGCCTCTTACTAGGTGTGTGAACCTGGGCAAATCACTTACCTTTTCTTTTCCTCAGTTTTCTCAGCTGAAAATGGAATGACAGCATATCTACTTCATGATAACAGGGTTATTATGAGAATTAAATAATTTGCAAAGCACTTACAGTAGTGCTTAGTATATAGTAAGCACCATATGTGTGTGTTAAATTAAAAAATTTTTAAGTTATTTCCTAATCTATATTTCCAACTTCTACCTCTTATATTCAAGCATTTTCAACTGCCCACAAGAAATCTCTTCCTTCCTTTATGTTTTTCATGCATCTTAAACTCACAGCTGTTAACTCATTAAACACTTATTCAATGCCATTGTTATCATGGGTTCTATGCAAAGAGTCAAGGACATAAGGGAGAATAAGGCACAATCCATGTGATAAGATGCTTGACGTCCCCTGGGGATAACAGACATATAAGTTGATAAAATACATAAGGAAACTGCACTGCTATAGATACAAACTAAAAAAGGAAATGTTTCATGCATTTAGATGTGTCACTACTGAATGATAACCTGCTAAGTCAAACTCATACAATTCTGCAAATATGTTCTTCCTCTCAGGTTTCCTATTCAGTGTAGAATTTCCAGGTAAACTCAGTTTTTTCTTTACCCTCAATAAGTGAATCCTTTTCATTCTTCCTTTATAATCCACCTGTGTCCTCCTCTCCAGGCTTTCTTTGGCTCACATGACTTCATATTAATGGCCTCAAAGCACATATCATAATGAGATGCCACAACATAACATAATAGAGCATTTCTAGGAGCACAACCTAATGCTTTAAAAAATTATAATTTAAAAAATTATAATGTCCTATGTTGTTTAATCTTCTCCCAAGTAAATTCCATAAGAATAGCTAATAATCAAGTTTGATCTGAATGTCACTTCCATTTAATAGCACAGGTCAATGAACAAGGACATATCAAAAAAAAAAAGTTTAAGTAGGAGATAAAGATAATTTACAAGCAGATAACTGAAATATCTGGTCTATAAATTCATGATTTTTTAGTTTTCTATCTTAATGATGACAAAGGATATACACTAATTAGAATCCACACTGAAAAGAAAATGTTCCTCAGGATTCTGTTAGAATTGATTCCTAAACTTAAATGTACACCATAGGTCTCTTCTCATGATCTACAAAGTAAGGAATGTGTGGGACAGAACTTTCTAATTGGTTCAGGCAAACATATTTCAGAATGATTCTACTTAGCAGTTTTGTTTCTCCCCTCATCTTCTAATCTCCTTTCAAAGAAACCAAAAACAGTTAATGCATGTTTGTTTAATAAGAGCAGAACACTCTCTTCTCTTGTAATTTTTTTCTCTAGCATAAAATATCTTCATCTGACAACATTTGGTACTGGATTACTTTTTCAGCCAAGGAAAACTATGATCAAAAGATGTAGGAACTGGATCATGGTCATGTTTCAGAGCCAAGTGGCCCCAGTGCTATTTCTGGGCTAGTTATCAGTTAGGCATTTTACATATTGTTATGGATTAAATATTTTTAGATTCCTGTATAGAAGCATATACATACAGTTTTTAAATGTTACACTGAAATTTCACTGGTTGCTTCTAATTAATTAGGTCCCATTAAGGCAGTTCTGAAATCTGTGGTCCTAAAGGCCACAAAGGGGTGAGGTTGGCCCATGATTACACTACTAGGACTAAAAAATCTAATCAGAGGAGGTTGAATTATAAGGGGGCAGAGGGAAAAAAAACAGGCAGCAAATCAGAAGAAAAATTAATGATAAAGAAAAAAATGGAAAGCCAGGCTCGGTGGCTCAGCCTGTAATCCCGCGCCTTTGGGAGGCTGAGGTGAGTGGATTGCCTGAGCCCACGGGTTTGAGACCCGCCTGGGCAGCGAGACCTCATCTCTACAATAAATCAAAAAATCAGCCAGGCGTGGTAGCGTGCGCCTGTAATTCCAGCTACTCGGAAGGCTGAGGCGGAAGGATCGCCGGAGCCCAGCAGGTTGAGGCTGCGGTGGCCGGGAGCGGCCACTGCACTCCCGTCTCGGTGACAGTGAGACTCCAACTCAAAAAAAAAAAAAAGGAGCTAAAGAGTAAAATAAAATAAGAAGACAGTCTTATTCCACGTTTTGAGGTGAAGAAGAAAATGTGGCCACAGATGACCATTTTAAAAACTCCCCTGTCCTGCACCCCACCCCCCGCCCCACCTCCTGCCTCCTTGATCCCTCTACAAATAATAAAGTCATTCTTGGGAGAAAAGGGTGAGAGGAAGTGGAAATTCATATAAGTCCAATTTGACTGAACTTGGAAAATTCTTCTTTTTGGGTGTTTTGAAATGACAGAAGTGATAATGAATTTTTTTCTTAAACTGTTATTTTGCAGTTAAGGTCATTTGACTTGCCTTCTGAAGTTAGTGTACTCCCATATGATGTAATATACTAAGCTCAAAACAATAAGCTACTAGATTTAATAAAAAGAATCTGTGTTGCTTATGTAAGCCTACAAATTTGTTTTAATGTTGTTTCCAGTTGTGTGTCTTAACTCAGCATCTATCATATGACCCTCCTTAAATTTTGTACTCTGAGTGCCTTCGCTTGCTGGAACCTAGCTTTAGATCTCGCAATTTTGTAACATCGGTTCTACTGAGGTCCAGTATTGTATACTGCAAGTATATAGCTCCTTGATGATCAAAGAAACTTTGGGCTGTACAGCAGAATTCCTTTAGGAATTTCTCCGTAGATATTATTTCTCACAAGTGAACTGTGGGAGGACACTGAGTTTGTAGTTGCATTTTCTGAAGAGAACTTTAAGTCCAACCATTCAACGTTTTCAGTTAATGGTAAAATATATTATTGTTACTAACAGTTTCAGAATCCCTGCATTTTCTAGACTTCATGATGGTTAATTATAAGATACTTAAGTTACATTGTTTTTTTTTAAGGCATACCATTGGGTTGAAAGGTACACCTGAAACATGCCAATAGAAAAACTTCATTATAAGAACAAGAATAATTTCTATCAGCTTATTCACAGAAAATCTGGCATCATAAGGTTTTTACTCCAGAAATAATTAAATTATGTAAACAGATGATCCACTCCTACAGACAATGCTTTTAACTTTTAAATCAGAAGGAACTGACAGCTTTTTGTTTTTTTCCATAAACAGGCAACACATTTGTTTTTGACCTAATGTCTTTGAATCCAATTGTTCTAAGGCTAGCAAATAAACTTCTAGAGAGGACACTAACTGTATCTGTATGGCTTAAATGAATCCTTCTGAAGAGTGAGATATTCCAGAGACAGAATAATGTTTCCAGAGCTCTAAGACAAATAGTAAAATTGAGATACAAAGTGCTCATGATTGGACTATATCCTGGCTGGATTCCAAGAACACCTGGTGGGCTTTGTATAACTTAAACAAGCATGCTATGAAATAGTACTGATGTTTGAATTTACTAAAATGGAAAATATCCCATAAAAAGGACTGAAAACTCATGTAGATTTAAGAATTATTTATACAAGTTATCAGCACAGTAGATGAAAGAATGGATGGTCAATTTAATCACTTTGGATAGCATGGAAAGGAACTTTAATGAAAAGTCCAATCTAGTAAATGTGTTTATTTTCCTTCTTTACCTAGATTACAAATTTGAACCCAAAACGTATCTGCATTCTCTTTTCTGCTGGAGGCTTACTTTTAGGTGGGGGGTTCAGATGTCCTCTCAGCACCCACGTGGGACAATTAATGAGCCAGAAAGTTTTCCTATCTATTGCTCACTGTCTTCTCTTTTCATCAAAATTCTAAACTCAGATTTCAATACACAACTATAAAAAGCGACATGTAAGTTTTACTGACATAGGAAAGAATGTGGACAAGAGAACAAATGCAAAAATAAATGTAGACTTGATGTTTTCCTTTTTCTTTTATAAAAGAGAGACTAAATGAGGTTTATTTGAAGAATCTTCTAAAATTTCAAACTCCTAGATGATGGAGAGAGACAATTCTTTCAAAACTCTTCATCCCTATTAATAACTTTTAAATATAAAGAATAACTTAAATATAAAGATTCTAACATTTATATTTTATATTATACTTATATCTGTAAAAAGCTTTGTTATTACTGCCAACAGCTCATGTCAACTTTGTTAGTATACTTAAAACATATTTAAGCATACACATTTCACTATCTCTATATACTAGAGAATCCTGTTTATATTATGACACTTCCTACATATAACATTCTTTTGTTTATACATGACTTCGCAACTGTTAACTGAATATATGCACCCATTTAAGTACCTTTTAATGCCAAGTTTTTAATGTTGGCTAAAAAAAATCACAGTTCCCAAAACTGCACCCTCAATCTTCTGGGCTATGATTTTCTATGGCAGCATCTAAGTGCCACAGCATGGAAGCCTTCAATGGCCATGTGTTGAAGGAACATCGAAGTACAAAGGGTACTTGCCTGGCTTGCTGCAGATGGACTTGCACAGTTCTTTCGGTAACATGCCAACATATGAGCAGTCTGATTAACTAGAATTTCCCGGATGACTTTCAAAGGCTGGTGGAGAACTGCTTTAAAAGCTATGTACACAAAACAATGAAAAGGACATCAACGTTTTAGCTCAGAAACTGATATCTTCAGGTAATAATAAGAAAAAAGAACAAACTATTTTCAGACCACGCAGCAAGAAGAACAGCATTTAAAAATGTTAAAGTCATCTCTAACAGTCTCCTCTTGACTAAAGATGATGGCCTCACCAATAGATAACAATGACCTACTTACAACAAAAGGTTATACTGGCCAGATTTATCTTCAGAATGTTAGAAACAGAATTCTACATGCACAGAAAAGAAGGGTCAGCTTGTCATTTTCTAATGTCCTGAATTCCTATGGGCTGGATTGCTACTTTTCCTAAAACTTAATGTAGAATCTCAAAAGGAAAGTCAAAGAAAATTCTACCCCGAGGCCTGTTCTATTTCATAGTTTTTGTGGTTTGGATAAGTGAGTTCAGTCTAATATTAGAGTCAGTCTCCCATTATCTCAATGCGCCAGAGGGCCCACTCACATACCATAATGAGGGTCTGTATCACCTTCCTAAAATTCAACTCAGACTATGCTACCCAGATTTATTTAAAGTTTTCTTTAGAGGGTATAATACTCGGTGATCTATCACAGAAACAAATAACTGAGTACCACATGTTCTCACTCATAAGCGGACCCTGAACATTTACCATAATACTGTAAGAAAAGGATTGGCAGTAGCCGGAAATGGGGGTGGGGAGCACATAACATCAGTAAGGTTGCCTGATTTCAAACCAGGCAAAGTGGGGACCAAAGGGAGGTCTAAACTTTACCTGTATGATGTCCACTTGTACACCTAATCCTGAATTGTACCCTACACATCTTTAAAATAAAATATATATATTAAAAAAATTTAGCCGGGTTCGGTGGCTCAGCCTGTAATCCCACACCTTTGGGAGGCTGAGGTGAGTGGATTGCCTGAGCCCGCGGGTTCGAGACCCGCCTGGGCAGCGAGACTTCATCTCTACAATAAATCAAAAAATCAGCCGGGCATGGTAGCACATGCCTGTAATTCCAGCTACTTGGAGGGCTGAGGCGGAAGGATCGCTGGAGCCCAGCAGGTCGAGGCTGCGGTGGCCGGGAGCGGCCACTGCACTCCAGTCTGGGCGACAGAGTGAGACTCCAACTCAAAAAAAAAAAAAAAAAAAAAAATTAAAAAGTTATCTTTAAATAAATCTGTATGGGCAAGCCCCTAGGGTCCCCTCCCACTGTGGGAGCTTTTCTGTCCTCTCAATAAATCCTGCTTTCTAAAATAATAATAATAATAATAATAATAATAATAAATCTGTATAACCTGGCCCTGAACCAAGTTATCACATTTATTAATCTAGAATTAGAGATGCTGACTATTCTCCCTCACGCTTTGCTTTTATTAGTTCTGAACTTACCCACCAAAAGGTTATAACACCACAGTGCTTTCACCTACTGACTCAATTAACTAACCAGTCTTGACTGAATTATTAAGCAAGGTTTACTGAACCTCAGGATCAGCACCGTGTTACCTGACTTAGCAAAGAAGTTGATAAGGGCATCCGTTTCACAGCTCTTGTAAAGATCAGCTAACTGGGAGCTGCAGTTTAAGCCCAGATTGTGAATCCGGAGTCTTCTTTGACCACTGATCGTCGTGTAAAGTACAGCACACTACAGAAGCAACATGAAGGTCACATGTTTTTCTAGTTAACACATTCACCAAGCTCGCTGATCTTATTTGCATTTACAAAACAGTGTGTACAGATAAAAGACTATTTTTCCACTGAATGTATTCCCTTACTGTTAAAGACTAGACAACAAGAAGTATGAGAAAATAATGACCAATTCACTGACTGGGTATTAATGTAGCATTTCACTGGTTTAAATTATTTTGGACTATTCATGTATAAATATCTTTTCACAATTCCACAACTAGCCTGCATTTCACATACCTCAGATTTTTTTATGACCAAGGACCTAGGTCCAAAAACAATACCTTTATGCATTCACAGCTGTACTCAAGGTTCACTTCCCTTAAAAACATACAAATAGTTTTGATGACAGATTTAGGTCTCATAATGATATATACATTTTAAGAATGCAGAGACATAATGACTTTCCCAAATATCTGTGATTAAAATATAAATATTAAATCTTCCTTAATGCTAACCTCTCTCCAACCTTTGAGGATGATGCTAGTGTCTGGAAATTACAACCATTAGGTATTTTTGTTGGCTTAATTCAAAATTTCCATGGCTTCTATAGCTATCTTTATTTGCTACAAAGCCAAATCTTGTCCTACTTGCTTATAATATGGCAGTATGTTTAACATGGTATGATAGGCTGAATTGTGACCCCCGTTCAAATTCATATGTTGAAGTCCTAACTCCCAGTATACCTCAGGATATAACTGTATGTGCAACAGGGTCTTAAAAGAGGTAAACTAATGAAAATGAAGTCATTTGGGTGGGCCCTTGTTCTTTATGACTAGTGTCCTTATAAGAGGAGGAACTTTGGACACAGATACATAACAGAGAAAAGAAAATGTGGAGATACAGGGTGAATAAAGCCATCTACAAGCCAAGGAGAGAGGCTTGTAAGAGATCCTTTCCTCAAGGTGCTGAGAAGCCTTGGCCTCAGACTTCTAGCCCCTCAAACTATTAAAAAATAAATTTCTGTTGTTTAAGCTGCTCAGTCTTTGGTGTGTTGTTATGGCAGTCCTAGCGAACAAAAACACTCATGGGAGAAGCAAATGGGTGCTGAAGCCTGGAAGAGCTGACTACTGCTGGAAACCAGTTTGCTGATGCCCATGACACCACAGGTCTGTTAGACTCACATGTAGTAATGACATATTATCGTTACTTCATATAAGTAGCATTTATGAATCAGAGCATGGAGAAGCTATGCTGCTGAGTGCTCTAATCTAACGAATTTTGCCTCTGGAGAAAGAGAGTTAAAATTTTTTAGGAAGAGACTAATACATTTGATGATATTTTAGGCTGTCCACTGATCACTGTCAGTAACAAACTAAAATGTCAACAACAGAATAAATTTTAAATCACCTGGATTAAAGCTCCAGTGTCTTCACTGAGTTTGTCATCATGCTTGAACTCCACAGTCACTGCCTTGTCGCAATCAATGGCTGCCATTTCTATATCAGTGGTGTTGTTCATAAGAATTCCACCAAAGAAATCAGTGGCTCTGAAGCCTAAAGATAAAAGAAAAGGGGAAATTGGTACTTCTTATTTTATTGTTATTTTTTTATTGACCTGTTATTAATTTGAAAAAGAAACAATTATATAAAAGAGACCTGAAAAACTGTATAAATGATCATTACCTGTGCTGGTACGAACCCTCATAATAGCATCAAAGCCTATTTTCTTTTCTATATCATTTCTGAGGTCATTCAAAAATTGTTGGCTATCCAAGTGCATCTGAAAAATAAAGTATGGTCAATGCCCACCAGATGGCAGCAAAATACTTAAAATAATTCTCATTTTAGTCCCTATTTAAAATAATTCTATTTTTAAAATCCTGATTTGGCGTATCTATGTGCAAATTTTGTTTCTTTGGTTAAAGAAAATATAGGATCTTTGGGCAGTAATTCATAATTTTTCAATTAAACATATCTATTATTTTATTTCACTTTCATAACACCGAGATGAGAAAATCAGTTATTAATTTTATTTTACAAATGGGAAAATTAGGAGAGCATAAATGATCCACTCAGGGGTTTAGGGCTGGAGACAAGGCCCAATATGGAACACCCATCTAATGAAGCTGGGGAAGGATCCTGCAGTTGTTTGCTTGTTTTTAATCTGACCCATTCAGAGGTTGAGCAAGCTAAGTCAGGAACAGTTCATGCACAGAACTAATAGAAACCCCTTCTTCTAGCTTTGTTAGCTCTCCATTATCATCATATTTCAAAAAGCTGTTCACAATATACAATCAAGCAAGTTTACACACTACACACATGTGCACAACACTGAGCTGAGAGCTTACCCAGGAGTGTAAAGAAACTAGTTGCGCACTGGCTTCTAAAGTTTCTTATCTGACCTGGTCAGTGAATCTCTTTAAGAAACTCTCATCAATTCTGTTTGAGATGTAACAGAGATGCCAACACATACATTCTTTCCTGTCCCCCCAACCCCCAAACACAAAAGGAATAGAGGAAGAGGGGAAAGAGGGAAACCACAGGCACAATCTTTATAATAATCCCTTTAGCTGTTTATATACAACTGGATGCCTGAAAAGTTCTTGATCATCATTTTTATCATTTCTTTCTTATGACTGAATGGAAAACACTATTACAATTTTTGCTGTTGAAACGAGAGGAGAAAGAAATGCTACAATGTGATTCAGTTTTGCAACAATGTGGAGTAATCACAAGCAACTGAATAATAGTAGCACAGCCAAAATCAATACTCTAATTATAAAATATTTACTGACTGTTTACATCTTAGAAGATTTCCCTCCATTGGATGATCACAATTTCTTTTTTAGTAACATTGACGGAATCAATAGTAACTACTGATATGTTGAGGTTCAAGTACCTCAGAAACTATATCAGAACTATATGAGGTTTGCTCATAACTCAAAAATTAAAGGAAGAGAAAAGAAGTAATTAAGTCAAGGGGCTACACACTGCAGTCACTCACTTCCTGCACATCATGTGGTAGCCTGTTCTTTGAAACTGTCACTCCAGTGTAGATGATCACACTCGTGCATGGCTAAGGACCCTGGCAAGGGCCCCGGTAGTATTCACAAATGCTGGGAACTTACTTATAAGGAATGAAAGATGATAAAGTCATTTGGGGGAAAATGAGGCAAAAAAAGTTTCTGATGAAATGCATCTCCCTAGCTGGAAAAGAAGATGAAATTGACATTGTGCTTCAATGCACAGACAGGGAAGAGAAAATAAGAGTTAGAATTCTGTATGATTATTAAGAGCTTATTTTATAGAGTTGCCTTAAAAGACAGACTTTTATCTAGAAGTCTTAGAAAGGGCTCTTAAAGCTTTTTCAATTTTATTTCATGTATGTTCTTTGGTCTTATCAAACCCCTTAACTAGTTTATAATATAAATCTATAGCTGGGCTCTATTAATAATAATTTTGATGACAAATGAAAACAGATAATGACTAACATTTGTCATTATGTTGGGAGAACACACCTTCCCATGTCATGCTTCCATGTGGAGGTACACACTGACCCCCTCTCTTCCAGTGACTTACCTGTTTAGCGGTTTGGGAAAAAAGGAACTGGGTGCAGGCATAACTCAGCCTCTTCTGGGCCCTCTTCTTAGGGAGGCAGCCTGCCTGCAGCTACACATTTTCTGCCCCTCAATAAAGTTTTCAAGTACAGGTATCCACAGGAGAAGCTTGTGACCATGCCCACCCCATGCCTGGGCATATACATTTGTCAAATTCAGGGGTGAGGCATTAGCAATCCCACCTGCCTACAGACCTGGGTCCATTATCGTGCTGACACTCTTATCATCTCTTGAATATGCCTCTCAAGTTTGGAAGAGAGGAGTACAACGAATTGACTTCCCCCCAAATCCTAACAATTTAAAACAAATATATAGTCACTTTTTAAAGCATTAACTTGAAAATATTTTTTTCCCTAGTATGAAAGCTCCATTGATATTGAACTAAGGCTAACCCAGCTCATTCTGTTGCCAAACACTTAGGTGTGAAACTGCTTCAACATGTCATCCCTTAGGATCTGTAGGGTGCTGGTTCCAGGATCTCCCACGGCCACCAAGCTCTGCCAGATGCTCAAGCCCCTGAGATAAAATGGCACAGCATTTGCATATAACCTACGCACATCCTCCATATACTTTAAATCACCTCTAGATTACTTATGTTACTGAATGCAATGCAAATACTTATGTAAAAAGTCGTATTGTTTAGGGAATAATCACCAGAACAAAGTTTGCATATGTTTAGTATGTTTGAAAAATATTTTCAACCTGTGGTTGGTTGAATCCACCGATGGATGTGGAGCCCACAGATACATACGGAGGGCAGACCGCAGACATTGTTTTCCATCTGCTCTTGAATTACACATGTCAGTTGCCCACAAGGGGCATTCTTAACCTATGGTTTGAGCATTGCAATTGAAATAGGAGTAGAAAATGGAAGTGAACAGATTGCTGACATTTACCTGAAAATTGTTATATTTGTAAAGGGTTCCTCCAGTAAGCTGAGGAACAAGCCCCAACGAGGCCATATCCACATACTGACTGGGAAAGAGGAACAGCGTCACAGAACAGCCATGAGCCACACAGTCCTTGGCCAGAGAGTCATAAACGTTTGTTTGGGGCTGGAAAAGTATCTGGGGGGAAAAAAAGACACAAAAAAGGAACAAAATGTTTTTGGTAAAATTTTAAATTCTATTGAATTCTTACCGAGTTTTAAAATTAAAGAAGTATTTATTTTTAGCACTGGGGGTGCCAAAAAAATATATACACATTTTAAGAGATGTTGTCTATATATTATTTTTTGAAGTTTTCAGAAATATCTGGATGCTAATGGTAACTATTTTGCACACTTCTTGTAATTGCAGAAGTCAAACATGACTTGTGTTCATCTTACAATTCTAAAAACGTGAATACTTTTTTTTTTGGCACCCTCTGTATTTTCGAGTGAACTAAGCTGAAGAAATAAATTGTGGTAATCAATAGTACAGTAACCATTTCCTGAGTGCCCCATCTGTGCTGGGCTCACATCATGTGAATATTTGCATGTGTTTAGTTTTATCTGATCCTCCTAATAAAGCTTGTATTGCTGTGCAGACTTTACAGATCTACTGAAGCAACTTGTGTGTTGTCACGTGGCCAAGAGTTGAATGTTGACATTCACGGACTCATCCTTTCCACTGTCACATAGTTGGAAGTTTCAGGCAGAGGTAAGTTTGAGCCTCGGTGCCTCTGCTTCATGCCTCGGGTCTTCACCTCCAAGAGGTGCTGTCAAAGGTGCAGTCTACACCCTCCCTCTACCCTGTCTTCTTTCCCCCACTTCCTCCAATTCTATCACAGTCTTATCATACAGTCTCTCTTACAAGGTTATCCATGAAAAAGTTTGACCCCTTTTTATTTTATTTTCTATTTTTTTTAGTTAGGAACTCACTCTGTTGCTCATGCTAGAAAGCAGTGGCACAATCATGGCTCAATGAAGCCTCGAACTCCTGGACCAAAGTGATCCTTCTGCCACAGCCTCCCAAGTTGCTGGGACTGTAGGAGTATATCCCCACACCCAGCTAATTTTTAATATATTTTTTGAGATGAGGTCTCGCTAGGTTGCCCTGGCTGGTCTTGAGCTCCTGGGCTTAGGTGATCCACTTGCCTCAGCCTTCCAAAGTGCAAGGATTACAGGCGGAGCCATCATACCTGGCCTGGGCCCTTATTTTAATTTAGATATTTCAGACATCAATTTTTATAGGAATATAGAATTTTTAAAATTGTTTGCAATTCAAAAGATTCCTGTAATATACATGTTCTGGATGTATACGCTAGATTTAGCTTCTCCCTCTTTTTCGGACACAAAAGACACACTACCTCTTTCTTTCATAGCCCCCCCCCCAATAATAACTGACATATAGACATTTCAAAGAGCAATCATTTACAAAGTACCTTCTCTTTGTCTGTATTAACCAGTTTTTTGTCATCTCTGTTTCTGAGCTTCCCTGGTGCTTCAGCAGTTGGCAAGGAAGAATGGAAGATGAACAGCTTCCCGGGACAGTCTGCTGCCTAAAAAATAAACAACAAAAATCACATTAAATGTCCTGGGTGGGAAGGTCTTATTTTAAGGGAGTCAGAAAATAAAATACAAGTTCTTTTTATGAACTAAGCACTAAATTCATCTAATTTAATCCTTTGTTTCCTTGGGTAGGTACTATTCTCTCCATTTTATAGATTAGAAAACTAAGGCTTAGAGAGAACAAGCCTAAAGTCATACAAGTTGTAAGTAAAAGGGCCAATACTTAAATATAGGTCTGTATACCATGATGTTTAAAAAAAACTATTAAAATGATGTGTTACAGTGAAAATCCTATAATGTAAATCCCATACTGTAAAAACAAATGATTGAATTCCCAGTTTTATCATGCAACAGAAGCTCTAATTTCAAATGTTTACTAAACATGGATTAAAACTACAGTGGCATTTTGAGGAAGAACGTTCAAGAATGTAGTGGTGTATGTGGTAACAGTAGATGCTAGGAACCAGCTATCAGGCATGATGACAAAATGAAAAGTTTGTAATCAAAATTATCTATCTGTAGTCTCTGAAACACAACAAAAAAAAGATTCAGGATCTATAAAGTCAATTCAGCATTGAGAATTAAAATTTTAAATCTTATTTAAGAGCTGGGCATGGTGGCTCATGCCTGAAACTCCAGCACCTGTGATCCCAGCACCAAGGCAGGAGAATCGCTTGAGGCAGGAGTTTGATACCAACACAGTAAGACCCTGTTTCTAAAAAAATTAAACTATTAGCTGGGCATGATAGTGTGTGCCTGTAGTCTCAGCAACTCGGGAGGCTGAGGCAGGATGATCACCTGAGCCCAGTAGTTGGAAACTGTAGTGAGCCATCATCGTGCCACTGGACTCCAGCCTGGACAACAAAGTGAGACCCTAATTCTTAAAAAAAAAAATCTTATTTAAGGAGCTAAGAAGCAACCTACTGAGCACAAATTCCTGAAATTAAATATGATTTACTCTATTGCCCCGCCACCCCAATCCTGCCTTTCTCCAAGCCACATTGTACTGGTAGCCTGCCTCTGGAATGAATGCAATAGCTCTGGTCAGGGATGTGGCTTTTCTCCTCAGAACCCTGCAGGCTTTCTAGTACAGAGTAAGGTCCACGGTCAGTTATCTAGTGAGAGCTGGAAAGACAGGACAGTAAGATAAGCTGCTACAACACTTGCTGCACACAGCTCAGTGCCAGGCCCTTCAACTTTTTCTTATTTAACACTCACAACCTTGTCTGCATTTTGGAATGAAGAGAACTGAGGCTCTTCTAATTTGCCCCAGGTCACACAGCAAGTAAAAGACAGCTTCAGGGCCTTTGAAGCGGTTTGGATCTATCTTTTCAGTCTAATTTGCAACATTTCCTCACCCTTGCATCTGCTTTGAAGTTTTAGCCACACAAGCTTCTTGCTTTCTGGGAACACCCCACGGGCTATACCCACTTCCATATCTTTGCTCCCTCAGTCAAATTAGCCTGGAGTCCATTTCTCCAGCTTTCTGCCTGGAGCTGTTGCTCGCAAAGGCATGAGGTGTGCAAGGGTTAGCCAGGAGATGGGCTGTATGTGCTACTAACAACAAGGCATTTAGGTTTGTGAATAGCTGACTTCCTTAAAAACAGACTTCAAGGTCAGCCCTTTCCTGTCTCTCATTGAGTGAATGCTGGGGATGTTCTGTGGAGTGGGTCTGAGAGGTGAAGACATGGTTGACATGCTGGCATGGTGCCTCACCATGGCCTGTCTTGTCTTTGCTGTAGCTAGCAGCGAGCAAGAATCTTCTACTGAAAATTATTGACAGATGCAGTACTAATAAGAAAGAAGGCAAGGATGAGTGAAGATGCACTGGTTCGATCTACAGGTGTATGTACCCTACACAGGAGAACGAGACGATCAGAATTTTTGCCAGTAAAGACACAATAGTGCCAACGACCAAATCAGAATAAATTTACAATAATACTGATGATAACATGTTAAGCATGTTGAAATTTTGAAGTTCTATAACTGTATATTTTTTCATTTTATAGCCATTATTATTGTAATAGTATTTTTTTAAAAATTCAGATAACAAAGGTGTTTCTTCCCAACTTTTCTTGCTTGGCCCACCCACTTTCCCTAAGGAATTAATTCACTGTCGAAAAATTCTTCTATCCATCTAGATATTCTTTACTCATGTTAGTAATGCTATACCACAGCAGAGAAGAGCATGGATCCAACCTGCCAAAATTAGAATAACAGCCCTTTATTATCTGAGTGACAGTGGGCAAATGATTGAACTTCTCTAATTCTCACCTCTCATATGACATAGGAGATTCATTAACTACATAAAATACTGTTGGAAGAATTCAATCATCCAGTACATGGTGTTAATCATAATTAAACATACTTGTCTTGTTACTGTTACCTATGGTAAAACTCTCAGGGGAAAAAAATTAAGGCTCATTAAAAAAAAATAAAGTGAATATTGTAAAAAAAAAAAAGAAGAATCGCTATATTTATTTTTTCTTTATAAAATGGCTGTTATTTTTAGATCTACAATTTCATTAACCACATATTTATAAAATATTTTACAAGTAGCAAATTAATCAAAGATAAAGCTCCTTATGTATTAAATGCTTTGTTTTCCTGCAAAAGTTCACATTTTAACCAAAATCTGACTCTGCCTACAGAAGCAAGTCATAGAATTAAGGAACAACATATATCATTCTTATTACGGCAGAAAATGGATTGAAAAAGGCTGGCCTAGAGAACACTCATTTCAAAATTTATCTCGATACCTTTTCCTCTGAGAAAAGCTTTGTCAACATCTTTGACAGAGTTGATTAGTTCCACCTCTTTGTCCTGCTCTTTTTTGTAGTAGACTACCCTAGAATTAATGACATTGCATCATAATTTTTCTTCTCTAGATCAAGGGTTCCCTGAAAAAGGACAGATCTTAGTTTTGTGTTTCTCCAACCTCCACTGGTCTATCGCCTTTTGCTCTATGGGTGCTGTATAAATGTTTGTGCCGGGAGTGTTGTTTGGGATGCAACATCCTGCAATCAAATCTAGGTATCCATTATGAACAATATAAATTCCCCCCAACCAGTAAAGTATTTTAAGCATAACCACTACAGGCCATTTCCTACCAAATTTTTTTGCCAAATCTTACACCAAACTGTAATTACCTAGTTTCGTGGTGGAAGTAACTACTAACTTAGAAAACTGTTCTTTGGCCAAATTAAAAGACAAGAACAACAATACACACACAGTTGAGTTATGGGGGTCAGATTCTACAATAAATGCAGATTTTGAAAGACAATATGGGAAAAAACATGGAAAGAATATAAGATGCTGTGGACATGGAAACATTTGCAACCCAAAATAGTGCACTTGGCTATGTCAAAGACTGTTAGAAAGTATGCACAAGAACTTTCCAAATAGTTCCTATTTATCTTCGTGACAAATTAGCAAATGTTTTTTGTTAGATTCAAGTTTGTTTTTGTTAGTTTCTTGTTTGCCTCAAGAAATTTATTACTACTGATTATATATAGTAATAAATTACTATATTTATTACTATGTTACATTTATAGAAATTTACTACTACTGATTGTATATAGATTTTACTTGTCATGTATCTGATAGAAGGTAAAGCTATAATTCAAACTGGGGAGTCTTGTTCTAAAATGTCTTCCCTGGGATACACAATAAGAAAAGTCTCACTTTGATGTTCTTTCAGTTTCCACTCCCTCTTCCCAGGGGATGAAACGTCCCAACTCTGACCTCCTGTGTAGAATATTCTGAGTTATCTGGCTGGCCAGACACAGTCCAGGGCTTTCCAAAGTTACTTTGCCCTCCCTCATCCCATTTTTCTTAATATCAGCAATGAACATTATGTTTTGTATTATAGAGTGACATCTCTTCTTACACACTGTAAGCAATCTAGGAGTAGGGACATTAGTCTCTATACTGCCTTAAAAAACACAGGCATTTATTAAAACTTAGTTGGTTGAAAGAATGAGTGAATGAATGATGTGGCCTCTTCAATACTTCAATACTACTTTGCAAATTCTCAAAAATGTTAGCTCTTAGCTTATAATGACTTCAGGCAAGAATTTTAGTGCCCTCATATATAAGTTGTACAAATTTAAGTCTGATTTGTCAGCCACATAAGACCTGAAAAATTAATGAAATTATATGACTACCAGAGGTAGCTAATTCCCTCATCCAAAGTTGACAAAGTCGCTACAAGTTAAAAAGTATAAACAGCAGAAAAGCTCCAATTACACTGCGTTAGTGTCTGTCCTTATACAATCATAACCATCCAGAATTTTCCTGAAAGATGCAGGAGAAACTTTTCATTAATTTATTATTCATATTACAATCTTTTACAAAAAGCCTTAAGGACACCTGTGACTAAAGGCACATACAAATAGAGCCACTAAAGCAAAAGTAAAAAAGTAGACATCCACAAGAAGGGTCGGGAAAAGCAAATAATTATATTAGAAAAATCCACTTTAAGGATTATTAGTACTTTTTTTTGGTAGTTAAGGCTAATAGAAACATTATATACAGAATGCCTGTAATAACTGACTCTGGGAAATCAGCTAGTAAATCTTTCCATGTGGTAAGAAACTGAACAACAAAAGAATATCTTCACTGAACATTCTGTAAAATGAAGAAAGTCTTTCATAAAGTTACTTCCTATGTTAATCATTAACCAAACCCTAAGGGCAAGAAGTTAAGTCAGGGTTAAGTCACAGCATTCCTAGAGCAAACCCAGCAGATGAAATTGTGTGGGTCAGGGATATAGTTTTCTAGAGAGTTAACATAATGTATGGATATTCTCAAAGACTGAAGAATGAGTAACAGTTCCTCATGCTACTAGTTCCCATATGTGCATTATCATCAGAATCAATTGGGGTACTAGTTATCTGAAACCCTGGGAGTTGACCTGAAATTTGCACTTTTAAAAAGCACCTGCCCTTTTACATGTGATGCTATGAATAGTCAGTTGAGGAAAAACGGCCTCATCTTTCTGAAGCATTGGAGCATTATTCAGTCTCTGTACGAAGACTGGTGCTAAAGAAAGCAATGTGTACTTGAGAGCAGGAATATGACAGTAACTACCATGTACATGACCTCCAACAGTGTCATTTTATTTATTTATTTATTTAATTTTATTTTATCTTTTGAGTTGGAGTCTCACTCTGTCGCCCAGACTGGAGTGCAGTGGCCGCTCCTGGACACTGCAGCCTCGACCTGCTGGGCTCTGGCGATCCTTCCGCCTCAGCCTTCCGAGTAGCTGGAATTACAGGCATGCGCTACCACGCCCGGCTGATTTTTTGATTTATTGTAGAGATGAGGTCTCGCTGCCCAGGCGGGTCTCGAACCCGCGGGCTCAGGCAATCCACTCACCTCAGCCTCCCAAAGGCGCGGGATTATAGGCTGAGCCACCAAACCCAGCTAACAGTGTCATTTTATAAAGATAGTTCCTTATCTTGGTAAAAAGACAGTTATTTACCTTTTATAATGATATCTCATTCTACTTTGTAAAAATAATAATTATTAGCTTGATTATTATCACTAGCCATTTTATATTAACAACTATTTTAAATTTAACTTTAATAACAACATATAACAATTAATTTGGGGAACTATCAGGGCTCACATGGTTTGACTCTTCTGCTTTGTATTTATAAAGCTGCTCTGAGTTGTATATTTAGATACTAGTTTCTTCTCATTTTTAAACTTCAAGGTAAAAAATACATGTTACTATAACAATAAATTACAAATATAACAAAAACAGCATGCAAAATATATGAAAATACACTGGTTAAAATGAACGAGACTCTGGTAAACAAACTGATAGCTGAGCATACCGACTGCTGCAGACTCTGTAGTGCATGAGCAACCTTGAGCTTTACAGCTATTAAGAAAAGTGTGAGACACACATGGCGGCTCACACCTGTAATCCCAGCACTTTGGAAGGCTGAGGTGGGAGGATTGCTTGAAGCCAGGAGTTCGTTACCAGGCAGGAAAACATAGCGAGATCTTGTCTCTACAAAATAATTTTAAAAATCAGTCAGGTATGTTGGCATATGCCTGTAGTCCCAGCTACTCAGGAGGCTGAAGTGAAAGGATCACTTGAGCCCTGGAGCTCGAGACTGCAGCCATATCATGCCACTGCACTTTAGCCTGGGAGACAGAGTGAGACTCTGTCTCAAAAAATAATAATGATAATAATACAGTGTGATTTTCAGTAATGTAACACAATTAGTATCATCAGTAGATATACAGAATGCATGTACACAAATTTGCTTTATATGTTTTATTCCTTCCAAGCTGTCAAATAGCCTTTAGACCTCTTGTGGACTGCCAATGTGGAAACCACTGCTGTAAGAGAGTATTGCTCCCTTTTAAAAATGAAATACGGAGTTGAGCTGGGATTCTGCACTCAGATCCAAGGGAAGTCACAGCAGTACTCCTCTTTCACTTTACTATGTGCTCTTAAGTAATCAAATATTAGCTTAAGAATAGCCACTGATCCTTCTCCTCACACAAGTCCATGAATACAACACTATTCCTAGCCTAGCTTCTTTGAGTAGAAAGACTTGTAGGATCATGTATAACTTATAACTTATTGTGCATGGAAAAATTTACACATGGATTTCTAGGTATCTTATTGAAAGAGAGAACAACAACCAAAAAACCCTTTCATGCTGAAATAAAAGAGATTTGCTTATAGCAATGTGAAATAAAGCTGGGTGATTCCTAATATTTACAGATCACTTTATGATGTAAAATTCATTATTCATTTTAAGTAAAATTAACAGGCATTCTGAGACATTTTGAAGGACATTCACAACAGTCTTTGATCCCATAAATGAATTATTCTTGCAGATCAAAAATTCAGGTAAGAATCATGGTACTAGAACAAAGCTACAAAATTAGACAAAAAAATAATGTATGTAGGAAGTATTTCATAAACTTATTTCTGTACGACTTTTGTTGCTATTGTTACTTATTATTGTTATTACTAGTCATTTTAAGTCAATTTAACTTTATTATTTTATTTATGTTTTTATTTTAAAGATGTGGGGTACAATTCAGGATTAGGTAGATAAGCAGTCACATAGAGGTGAAGTTTGGGCCTCCCTTTGGTCCCCACTTTGCCTGGTTTGAGATCAGGCACCCTTATTGATGTTACGTGTTCCCCATTTCCTGGCAGTTTCCCACTACTGCCAATCTCTTTCTTATAGTATTATGGTAAATGTTCTGTGTCTGCTTATGAGTGAGAACATGTGGTACTTAAATATTTGTTTCTGTAATAGATCACTGAGTATGACAGACTCTAAATTCATCCAAGTTGCTGCAAAGTCCTTAATTTTGTCCTCCATTATGGCTGTGTAATATTCTATCATGTATTATGTACCATGTTTTTTTATCCGGTCCAATTTTGCTGGGCAACACGGTTGGTTCCATGTTTTTTCTATTGTGAATAATGCTGCAATAAACATGCATGTACAGGTATCTTTTTTATAGAATGATGGGCATTCCTCTGGGTATATTCCCAGAAGGGGGATTGCTGGGTCATATGGAAGGCCAATTTTTAGATCTTTTAGGAATTGCCACACTGTTTTCCACAGAGGTGATATTAGTTTACACTCCCACCAACAGTGTAGAAGTGTTTCCTTTTTCCCACATCCTCTCCAGCACCTGTTGTTTTTATTGATGATGACTATAATAACATTTGACAATTAATTTTAGGAACTAGTTGTCAGGATTAACGTGGTTTGACTCTTCTGCTAAGATAGTAATTATTTCAATTTAGTGCTTTTAAAATCATTTTGCTTTCTTCAGTTTACCATCTTTATTACTATGAAAATGACCAGTGTCATTTGGGCTCAGCTTCCCAGATGAAGACTTGACCAACCTCTCATCTGCTTTTGGCAATCAACAAGGCCCCAGGCAGCATTCACATCTCCTTCAGTGACTGTCACAAGGCTCTGCCTTTGCATGTTTGAAAACCCCAAGGAAGGGGAGGGTGATATGGGAAGCTGGTAGGTCAGATCTTGAACTAATTTTAAAATAAATCATATAAAGTTCATGGAAAAGCCAAAAGGAGGAGCTAAACTGGAAATCCAGGCAAAATCAGTTGCTCGGATGCTCATAGTGCTGGAATGTAAACGTTGGGAGCAATCTGTGGTTTGGGTCATTTCCTCCTGAGATTTATAGAGAAGTTTGGAACAGCTTCTAGTGACCTACATGTTTTAATAAAGACTGCATTTTCTGCATAAAGTCTTTTCTCTCTTTTTTTCTTTCTGTTTTTATAATTTATTGATTAGCAGCTAGAAGTAGCTTCTTCTTACCTTTAGTGCTTCCATGCCAGCCTGGATGACAGGAGCAAAGACTGTCTCATTTTCATTAGAGTCTGCAAACATCTCTGGAATCTGGTCCAATAAACTATTAGAAATAAATTGGCAAAGAGTTGTAAATGTTTAGTATATTCGCAATAAACTTCAAAAATAAAATCACCAGCATTTCAAGCCTAAACACATAAGGTATTTATTTATTCACCTATGGTGCATTTCATAGGCCATACCTCAAGGAATGATATTCTAGCATGGTTTGGCACCAAAAAGACTAAGATTTGAATAGAAGATATACAAAAACCACACTTTTTATAGGTATCTCTTTCTATTCACCACATTATTGATCTCTTAGACCATAAATTCTCAGAACAGTGGCTACACATTTAGCTATTCTCATCATCACTGAATACATTCATCCACATGTAGAAAACATCTCCCTTGCATTACCTTCCAGCAAAGAGAAGGGACTGATATAGGATTAGTGAGTGTTAAAAAAATTCTTTCTTTTAGATACTGGTCTACATTAAATAGAGATAGACCTAACATAAATGATAGTTTTATAATCTGTGTTTTATTTAAGTTGGAGTCTCACTCTGTTGCCCAGACTGAAGTGCAGTGGCAAGCTCACGGCCACCTCAGCCTTGACCTGCTGGGCTCAGATGATCCTTCTGCCTCAGCATTCAAGCAGCTGGAACTACAGGCAGGTGTCACCATGCACGGCTACTTTTTCTTTTTTTATTATAGAGATGAGGTCTCCCCAAGTTGCCCAGGCTGGTCTCGAAAATGTGGGCTCAGGCAATCCTCTCACCTCAGCCTCCCAAAGCACTAAGAGTATAGATGTGAGCCACCACACCTGGCCTTAATCTGTGTTTTAAAAGCTCTCTTGCTAATAATAAAACAACAACATATGATTGAATCAAAACACAATGCAATTAAAAGTAGACACCTGATTTGTATTTAAATTATAAAACACTTGATATTTACTTGTGAATCACTGATTGGGATTCTTGATAGTTGACAAGGAAACCATCCAACAAAGGAACAAAGACTTCTCCAACATCAGTCACCACCATCATCTGAGGCTGGGCCAAATTACTCTTTACATTAAAGAAATGAAGAACTTTGTTATATGTGATAAAACCAACTCGAATTGCAGACATCTCTTCTTGTTCTTCCCTATGGGGGAAAAAAAAGCATTTGAGGTCCTTTTATAAATTGCAAATGAAAAGGAGGTTCCTATAGAAATTCAGAAAGTGTGTTTCCTACAATATGAAAGACATGTTCAAAGTTTCTGTTGTAATTCCTACTCCCAGGTGTAAACAATACTGAGTCACAGAATGGAATTATAAAAATTAACAAATTGATAAAGAAAAAAATTATCAAATTTATAGGTAAAAATCAAATAGATATGGAAATACTTGCTCATATTTCTTTAGTGTACTTATTTTCAACCTATAGAAAATTATGGGTTTTTTTAATGAATAAGTTAGGCTTATGACATTCTTTATAAACAAGGCTCTCTCAAAAGTCAGCAGGAGGTCAGAAGAACAAATGAATATCTGAAGTAAGAGAAGAGAAAGGCACACTCATATAACTATCGAGACAGCTGTTTTGTCAAGAAAGGACTTGTCCTGTGTGATCCTTTTCTTATATATCCTAGAGAATTTCAACAGAAAACAGGCTAGATTTTGAGAATTATGTATCATATAAACATATAGTGTAAATATATAAAATGTTGCATTTAGAAATTGATACTGTAGTTCTTAGGTGACCACTTGTGATAGTCATGGCAAAGCAATAAAAGCTCTAAAACCATAACAAGAAACAGACTTTTTAAGGGAGTTCCAAAATAGGCCGTAATAGTCCTGAAAGTATAAAATTATGAATGCTCTCATTCAGAATTTAGTGGTCTAAACTCTAGTTACATATTTACTGAGTACACTGGGTTGCCTGTTGGTCTCTCTCTCTCCTCTAAAATAAAACACCAAGACACTACAGATGCTTACTAATTTTCAATGGGGAATATTACATAAAACTCAAAGTTAAATGAAAGCCACAAAAGATATATACCATTTTCTTTGACCCTCAGATGTCAGTAAAACTTATTCTGATTAAAGGACAACTTTTTTGAAAAGGAACTTGGTTGCTCAGTTTCTAATAACTAGAGTATGAGAGAGAAAGGAAAATGGAAGTATCAAGATGAAATTATCTCAAGTTTTAATTGCTGACTTCATTGCAGACTTCCCAATTTCTTTTATGTTTCAGTAGACTACAGGCTGACTGAAGTACTGACTGTAAACTGTGTTTTGTTTCTTCTCTACTTCTTTCACTAAGAGTACTTATTCTTCAGTGGGCAGTTTAAAGAGATCCTCAGAATCCCTCCCAAAAGCACTTGGTAAACGTTTATATTCTAGATACTTGCAAAGCTTTCAGAAACAGGAATCCCTATTCTTTCTAACTACACATACAGAGACACTCATGCACACCTCAATACCCTGAACAGTACAACTAATTGCTATACCACACTGCATCCATGCTTCCCCCTTCCCTATTTATTTGACTCTCATTCTTCAAAACCAAGTGCAAATCCTTCCCCCTTGTGTAACCTCCCCTGATGCTACCAGCCACAATTCTTCTGAATTCCTAGAAACCATTCTTACTGGGCTCTTAGCATGGGTGCTTTTTAGTTAATATTTCATGAGTCCCTCACCATAAGCAAATAAAGGGCAGGGCCCAAACCTTATGTCATCTGTCCCAGTAGGGTCTAGTTCAAAGTGGGGAATCAGAGGTTTTACTGAGGATAATTATCATGATAGTGAAACACTGCATTTGGGATGGCAACTTAGAGTCCAAACTGATAAGCCAATAGAACACATCTCTTCCCAACTCAGTTTAGTAATATCACCTCAATAGTTTAAAATTAGCTTGGCTACCTGGCTGATCCAGCCAGTTAAAAAAAAAAAATTAGCCGTCCTCGGTGGCTCAGCCTGTAATCCCGCGCCTTTGGGAGGCTGAGGTGAGTGGATTGCCTGAGCCCGCGGGTTCGAGACCCGCCTGGGCAGCGAGACCTCATCTCTACAATAAATCAAAAAATCAGCTGGGCGTGGTAGCGCATGCCTGTAATTCCGGCTACTCAGAACGCTGAGGCAGAAGGATCGCCAGAGCCCAGCAGGTGAAGGCTGTGGTGGCCGGGAGCAGCCACTGCACTCCAGTCTGGGCAACAGAGTGAGACTCCAACTCAAAAAAAAAAAAAAATTAAAGCTAAATTAAATAAATAATAAGAAAATTAGCTTGGCTAGAAGTACTGACACCACGGAATGAGCAAACACTACAAAAATCAAGATTTTATTTACTTGAGAGACAGTTATAAGCACACTACAGGTTAAGCTCCCATTTCCCAGTAAAACCTTTTATTATATAAGGTGAGAAATGTTCAGCAAATCATGACAGGTTTTTTATTCTTTTTTGATAGTTAATTTGGTGTCAACTAAGGCAAAAGACATAAAAGAAAATCTATAGAGGAAAATTTGGGTTTCTACTTCCCTCTGGATTTGGACATTTCAAGTGACGGGAAAAGAGTACCCTGGGACCACGGGGTTCACTTCAAATCTAAATTAACATTTCTTAAAAGCATCAAATCAGAACATCTCTCACATTATTGCAAAATATTAGTACTTGTCTCCATGGGAACATTTTTTTTTAATTTGAGAAAAAAAGAACTGTCCTAAAATTTTCTTCAATGGTATAACTGCCTCAGTTAAACCATATTCAGAAGAAGAAAACTAAGTTGTAGTCTCTTCTTCATATTAATTCTATACAAGTTTTGTGAAGTTATACAAGAGATCTCATAAAAACTGATGTTTTTGTTCCTCTGCATTCCAGTGATCACTTCTCTCAACACTTGCCCCATCATTTTAATGGAATGAAACTGACAGAGCAAGCCTGAAGACATTAGCAACTAGATGAACCAGAAAATTCCAAGATCAAACATTTTGAACATTTTGCTTACAGCAGCATTAAAAACAAACAAAATCTTAAAATAACTCCAGAACTTGATCTGAACAGCAGGTAAAACATTTAAAATACGGCAATCTTGCAAGGCCAATGATATAAATTCAAGGTTAAATTGTAAAGAATGAAGCTTTATCTTTTCAAAAGATTAGCTAAGAGATGAACATACCCTAAGATATCAATCAATTCAGACTGTGCTTTAAAAAGGTTATCTGACATATTGTCTGCTTTAAGTACAAGGAAGCAAATCAAACTGATGTCAATCTTACCATAAAAAATAAAGTTGCACGCATGCATAGACCAAAATAAATTTCAAAGGGGGGGAAACAATAACCAGATTTCTTTTAAAAGAAAAAGACAGTAATCTTGAACAAACCTTTTGAAGAGAGAGACATGAATAATGGGAAGGAATAACCAACTGTATCCTTTTAGTTTTTACTGTCTTTTGCCAAAGTCATACATTTGCTACAATGGGATATAAAGTTATAATACCACCAAAGGAAAGAGTGTGACTTCATAATGTATATCAATGGGCTATAAGCTTCATATTATAACTGTGTTGAAGAGGAACAAAGGGTTGGTGAAGTAATTGTCTATGAAAATAGGTTAGCCAAATTTGAATCATTTTGAGAAAGAAGGACCACCTCCAGAAATCAGAGTAGTTTTCTTTTATAACAGTCAAGTTCAAAATTCAGATCTAGAATTAAACCAGCCTTGTGAAAGAGTTCTATAATAAAACATACCATATTCAGCAGAAAATCCACACTTTTCAAGTTTCCCCAAGAATGGGGTAAAGGAAACCACAGTGACAAACAAGTCCACAGGCATCAGATCTTATGCCACCATCTTCAACTTGCTCCCTTGCTCATTCTTCATTTTAGAATTCAGTTTGAAATTGCCTCAGTGTTCTTTAAACATCCCCAATGCTTTTCCAAACCATCCTTGAGTATATTATGATTTCAGCTCACAGATACAAACAAAACTGCTCCTGGGAGGTCCAGAGTTCATCAGAACCTCACATATACCAAAGCACCAGTCATATGTGGAAAGAACACAGTTAGACACCCAAAGATTCCTGGAGCCCTAAGGGCTGAAGATAGTACTCCCATCCTCCAAAAAAAAATCCCTTTCCAGAACAAAGATTGCTATGTTCAAGGAGATAGGAAGGAGATGGAAGATAAAGAGACTGGCTCAGACAACAAGGCTATAGACATTTCCTGGCCTGTTTTACCTTCTTAAGCACATCTTCCTCACATGCGGGATGGCATTCTTCTGCTCTTAAATCTCCTTACTAGAAGCTAGTTTCCCAACCTAAACAACCAGTTTGTACAATATGATAATTTAAAATTGCTATGATATTAGTGTTAGGAGAGGTGATAGAAAAGAGAAATAAAAGGATACTGCTAATTATTCCCTGACACTTTTCAGATATCTGTCTTAAAAGTTTTTATTCAAGTCCAAATCCTTTTTGTATCCTTTATCTTTCAAAACAAATCTAGTTGTTTTTTTTCCCCTGAAATTCATTTTGGGCTGTGTATGTGAGTAGCTTCAACTGACATCAATTTGATTTGCTTCCTTGTACTAAATCAGGTAATATGCCAAATAGCCTTTTCAAAGCACAATGTGAGGTGTTGGTTAATCTAATGTACACGCATCTATGAGCTAGTTTTCTACCTTTCCTTGTATGCACTGTCCCTTTCAGTGGCAAGGAATGTGGTACACCTTGGGCTTAGTTATTGGACAAAGAGGCAGCACAGCTGTAAAGGGATTGCGCAGTGTATCATAAGGAAATGAGGCTGAAAATCTACTATGTCTGCATAAGACAACAGTTCAATTTTCTGTCACCCCTTAGAACTCTCAATCATGCTCAGCAACTTCTGGTTTCCACTGAAAAATTAATGTTTTGAAAAGTGAGTAACACTTCCAAAGTTTTTCCCACCACACTGTTGAAATTCTCCTTATAATTTATCATGTATTTTGAATGCTTTTTAACCACAGCATTATTTTTTTATCAGTTTGTTTCTTTTGCTTTGTACAAAAGATCACTTTAATTTTTTAAGGACTCAAAAGAATGGTATTGTTTGATTTATAACTAAATACTCAATGTTCACTAGCAAAAGATATCAACTGGTCACTCGGTTCTTATTTACTGGTCAGTAAATTAATTCAGAAATAATGTTTAAGTTGTGAATAAAAATGGCAGTTCCCTTACTTTGGAAGTTTTTCCAGAATGGTCTTCAGTTCTTCACATATGAGCTTGACAAGTCCATTCTTTATGTTACTATATGAAACATCAATCATGAAGATAAAGGCTGGTGGGTTGGGAGGCTTATTATTCTACAGGAAAGCAAACATATCACATAAATAGGTATGTTTGTAAAGTAATTATAGTTCCCAATCAAATTTAAACACTCATTAGAACTCTTGAAGGTCATTAAATGTTTCGTTTAATATTTAAAATATAACATCTGTGGAATTAAATCATTCTCTAGAACACAGTTCTCTAATGTTATAAAAAAGATAAAAGAAGCTTTCATTTTTCAGGGTATGACCCAGGTCCCACTATTGAATTAGACAGTATTATAATATATAGTAGAGAAGGTTCTGCAAAGAGCCAAACTTCATTACTACAATTGCTGAAGGAAGAGTACATACAGTCTTGTGGCCTGTCTTGCTTATAACACTCTGCCTTAAGTAGGATGAAATATGTTTGAAACACTCATAAATTATACTAAAAAAGGGTACATATGATAATTAGTGTTTGCTTTTAACTTCACTAACTTGGATATCACCATTTTTATATCTTATCAGCTCTTTTAGTTTAAAGGATATGAAATTGTATACAAAAATATAACTGCATACTTAAAAAAATTGTACCATATTTTTAAATACTTACCTAATTTCTTACACTTATGGTAAAAATGGAATGTTAGCCCTGTTATGTATCTGTTTAAAATCATCACTATAACATAGAACAGCTGCTATAAAATGTTTTCTAGCTGTGGGTCCTTTTACTGGCTGGTGTTCAAACAGCTCTTAGGAAGTGATCCTTCAGTTGGGTCTTACAAAATATTTAGAAAAGAGAGTCACAGGAAAACAACTTTAGTGATCTACACTAGAGAATAGAGTTAAGACCAATAAAAAAGCTATTTAATTATTATGAAATTAGATTATAATGTCTGTAGATTATCTTATTGATTATTTCAAGGCTAGATATAACACTTCTCTAATAATAGTCCTTTATTTTAAATAAAAACAAATTACAGCACTTAAAAATCTTCAACCTGAAAACTTTATCCGTGTGCCAACATCAGACCAACAAAGAAATAAAGGAACTCTGCTGTGTGAGTAATTTTTATTGCAAATCATTCCTGACTCCCACCTAATATAATTTATAACATGGACTTATGCTAATTTATACTGGATGAATGTAACAACCATTTCCACCGATTAAGCCTTTTGTGACAAACTCAAATGTGCCTTACCATTCTAACAATCTCTCCTGAATTCAGCATTACCAATTCCCTCACTGAATATTTTCCATATCTCCAACATGCATATTACTACAGAAATGCTTCATTATTACTGGCTTTTTATGTGTGAAAAATTAATTCAACATTCCATTAAATCACATTCTCTTGCAATTTCTTTATCTCTACCAATAATATCACTACATGCCAACTCAAAAGCTTGAAAATGTGAAACTGGATTTGGCTGTTCCTTTTCCTTCAATCACTGAGTTTCATTGTTTTTTCTTTCAAAATGATTCTTTCATGATATTTTACCCAATCCTACTCTTAACCATCCAGAAGCCTGTCATCTCATGCCTAGATAATCACAATGGGCTTCATCATTGGCTTCCTTAATCTAGTACTCTACCCACTCAATCCTGCTTGCTTTGTTAAGCCAAATTTCACATGCATGCACTCTATAAAAATCTAGTTTTCTGCGCCACCTTACAAAAACTGCTCTCAAACTACAGTGGAACTACAGCTGCACACCTGAAATGGAACTACAGATGCACAAATAAAATCCAGCCATCACCCTGGAACTTCGATTGCTTTGCAACTTTAGCACGGTAGACCACATTTGCTCTCTAAGCTGCCAGGACATTGAGGCCTCACTTCCTCTGCCAGTTTTCTAACTGTTGCTTGTTTTTCATTTTCTTGTCCTCCTCCAAAGGACACGCTCCTCTCTCCTCTCATTTAATGTTTCATCACAGAAATAGCATTCATTTATTCAGTTTTAGCCAGAACCTCTATATAGTTGACTCTTTGAATTCTCTTTCAACATGGGTTCTTTTTGAGCTCAATACCAGCATTCCAACTAACTATAGCACACATCCACATAAAAGTTCTGCTAACACCTTAAACTCAAAACTTTAGAAGTTATGACATCATTTATCCCACTATACTGGTCTTTCCTGTAAGAAACTTACAAAAAAAACACAAGTCTCTAAATAATCTGGACTTGAAATCTCACTGTCTCCATGGAATTGTCCATCTCACTTACCATGCACAGTCAGTTAACTGTGAAGGTTTTTCTGGCTTTTCAAGTTTAGACCCTCATTTTCTGTCTTTTTCAAAAGGTTTTTTTTTTTTTTTTGAGTTGGAGTCTCACTCTGTCATGCAGACTGGAGTGCAGTGGCCGCTCCCGGCCACCGCAGCCT